CGCAGATATATATCTTTGTCTTTGCGAGATATTACAATTGTTATGTCCTTCAAGGATTCACTCCGTAAGGTGTTGGTAGAGGGTGATGTAGACAGAAACATGCTCTTGAAAAATATTATTATTGACGCCAGTAACAATTCTTGCACATGGCAAAAAAAAGTATGCTTGATCTTCGTTGAAACTGGCATATATACATATATATCCATATATTTTTCTTTGAGTCTTTCCTTTCCTCTTGCAGGCCCTGCAGGTTATTACCCACGCTCTTAGTCTCCATGGTGACGATGCTGACCTTTATTATCATCAAGGAAATTTGCATAAAGACTTGAAAAACATGCAACAGGCTAAGGAAGTAAGAGTGACAAGATGTGAAATTTGTCTTAATACACCATTTTAGCTTGGGTAGTTTGTTGCCCCATTTCAGACCATGTGACGACACTCTTGAGAATTCTTGCTGTAAAATTTTCAAATGGTCGCGTGGCGTGTATATGAATGATTAATTTTTTAAATGGATAAAAGAATGTCAATTCTCTAGAGAATTCAAAATCACGTGGTCTGTTATGGAGAAAAAAACGCCCAAGCTTAGAAGGTTTATGGACGGACCATCATTGTTTCGAGGGGGTGTTGCGCAATTTTCTCGGGAATGAATTGTTTTCTCACCTTTAGGTTATGCATGATTTTTTTTGGTGGGCCTTTTTTGCTGTGCAGCTTTTTTTCTGGATATTGCCCGTACCTCCTAAAAAAAAATAGTGGTCAGTCTCTTATTAGTCGGATTTCCTTGATGTTCATCCAGTCTCAGTTGTGTTGTTAAAATTTGGTAATGATTCTCCTGGAAGGGCGTTGGTCCAATGCGATGACGTGCTACATTTGGTCTGGACAAATGTCTTAAGTATATTCCTTGATATTTCACGGGGGAAAAGAATGTTACGTGCCAGCTTCGTACGTACCATCTAGCGTTATGCAAATGTACACAGGTCATCGGTAGTCACAACTGGGTCGTTGCACAGTTCCCCTTTAAGCGGCCTTAGTGCATGCAAAGGCTTGAAAGGGAATAACAGTGGAGAGTGCTCACAGAAAATAGTGTCCGTGGCAGTTCCATTCTGGTCTTATTACCATTCAACGACGACGACAGCAACCTACTTTATGTGTTTTCGGTTTCCTTTTTTTTTTTACCTCGCATCTGACGTGCACCATGTCAATGGTATCTTACTTTGAAAGGAAAAGTAGTAAAGACCTCCTTTTTCCAAACAGAGTTTTAAGATAGCGGTGCAGCTGGACCCAGAGCACTCGAGTGCTCATTTGAATCTTGGTGTTATATTCCACCTTGAGGTGAGTAACGATCCGATTGAATGCACATGTGTGGTTATGTGACAGAATATGTCCAGTAAAGAGACTAACGTTATAGGGTTGAGAGGCTATAAATTTTGTATAAATTTGGAGTGAATTAACCATGATCTAAACGATCAAGGGACTGGGTACGAATATTTGAAATCAAGTAATTTGAAAAACTGAGCCTGGTACCTAAAGGAGCATCTAAAAGTTAGTAAGTTTACCAAATGGCAGTGTTTTACGTTCAGAAACAAAGATGTCATAGACTTTTGAAAAGTTGTGATTTAAGAGAGATTTGTATAGTTTGGTGAGAAAAGTTTTAAATCGATTTAAAATATTTCTACTCAGTCCCTTGCTCGTCTAGAACATGGCTTATTGTAACAACTTCGAGGGTTTTTTCCACTTTTTTTACAGAGCTCTGAAAACAGCAAAAACCACCAAAATTACAGAAAAGAAAAACATAAAGCTTGTATTAAAATGGATTAAGCAATAAAACATATGACACTGTATACTACATCAAAGTTCTACAAAAATATAGTAGAAATAAACATGGAATAAGCTCTTTGATGTTTTCTTCAAATGTGATCACCAGCCACTATTTGTATTTCTTCACAGGGTAAACATGCAGAAGCTAGACATCATTATGAGATCGCAGCGAAGTTTGATGCAGACAACCCCACTTTAAAACAAAACCTAGCAAAGCTACAACGCGTAGAGAAGAAGAAAAAGAGTTAGCAGAAGAATAATGTGCGGCGGTCAAAATGGACACATCAAAGATGAACTGTTCAAGAAAATCAGTGAAATGTTTTGGTTCAAAACCACTTAATATGACTATGTGATTTTCTAATGGTTCTCCATGTTTTACTTTTATCAACGAGATAAATAGGAGAATCTTTGTTTGCAATATTTGCCTCATTAGCATAAGCGATACAGTTTCTGGTAGAGCTACAAAAACATTAGTTCTGAATATTGCAAGGGCACAGCACGATTAACTGTCCCAAGGAATTTGAGGCCGATGTTTTGAATACATTTTGAGCTACGCGGGTTTAAAAACTCGAAATCTTACAAAGAATGTATGAGCTCATTAGCGCTTTTGCCACCCAGAAATATTGCATTTTTTGAAAACCAATTTCTTTTCGAATATTACACCCAAAGAGCCAAACATTTCACCAATTACGTAGTTTCAAAAGTTCATTAAAATGTTTGTAGTCAATTCGTGTCTAGCGTGGTACCCTCTCTGCGCAAAGTCGTATGTTGATGAGGAAAAATGTAAACAGTCACGTCAGCAAAGATTCGCCAAAAGAGATAAATAAATAATAAATAAATAATAATAATCTTTATTTAGGAAACTTTTTCACGCACATGGGGTTTTCGAAAAGGACCTCAAAGATTAATACTAATTAATAGAACTAAAAATAGGAAATTTATAAAACACTTAAGTTAAAAAATTAAAAACCTGTCTCTTGAAAATATTTACATTAGCAGAGTCTCGTATTATCTGGCTGAGAGAATTAAAATATTTAACAGCGTGATAGGCAGTTCTTTGTTTTCCCCAATTCGTTCTAACGCAGGGGAGATAAATGTTGCGTACTCGTTCCCAGTCACCCCTCCTTTCCTTTCTCGTGCAATGGTTCATGACGCCTTGGGTTGGAGACATACAATGCACTACACCAAGATAGCGTTTATTAACTTTTCTAAACGGTCTTACTCAAGGCTACTAAAGTATGTAGCTGGCGGCTATCACAGCCTTTCACCTTTCACACTACAAATGAAATAACAGAAAAAACGCAATATATATAGGGCTGAAATATTCGAGAAGGCTACTGTAGCTCAGCACTATGTGTTGAATATTGATGACTTAATTGTTTTTGACACTTTTCATCGTTGTGGAGCTAAATAACAAAGAAAAAGTAGTTGAATAATTAAAATCGTATCCACTGAGTTTACAGATAATACTCAAACTTTTTAATACAATTTTGCGATTATTTTGGTTATGCCTGAAAAAAAAGCCTGTTTTGCGTTCTTCAGGAGTTGTTTCCCTCCTGAAACATGCATTGTAGATTTTGATCGTCCCTGTGATTGGTTATTAACTCTTAGGTCAATAACCCCCAACCAATATCGTAAACAATCTCAGTGGACACAAACCGTGACGTTTATTCATTTTCTTTACTCCGCTACGGGCAATTAGCTTGCACCAGCAGCCTCCAAAATTCTGGGAGAAATCATTCTTTCAGCGTTTGTTTCTATCAAGGTAAGAAGTTGAGCTTCCTTTTAAATGACTGGAAAAAAAACACAATCCTTGAACAATTTTTTTTTAACGTATAGGCCAAGTTATTCTGTGCCACTAGTCTCTGCAGTTGTGAAATTCGCTGCAGGGTAATGAACTTGACGCAGTTTCGCCATGGCGACGGAGTTAGCACGACTGAAAGTTTATCTTGATTGTATACTTTGGGGCAATTACGGTCCCAGAAATTTACAGTATCATAGATCTGAAAATATATGCCTAACTATAACTGTACCCAATTTAAGAGAATTAGCATGTAACTGTAAAGATTTCTACTGCAAAGCAGTAAACTGACTAAGTCAATGCTATTAAATCATTTGTTTAATATTTTTCGCATTCAACTTCCTTTCCAAGAATCACCTCAGTCGACCATTTGGAGGTGGCTCGATCACATTTTGTGTGTGATTTCTGTGGCAAGTAGCTCGGAGTAGTCGGAGTGTCTATATTAATAAAGTAATGTATCAGATATGTTTTTGTCCACGACCCATTCGCGATCGATACTGGTAGGTACATTTGTTACTGAACTCACGGTTGGCTCAACTGGAAAGTGGGAAGACATCACGTTTTTTTGAGCAAATAAATTTTAGTATCTAAACAATATCAACCATACCTAGCTACCGCTAAATTATCAGCGAGGCGAACATTACAAACTTTCGGGTGTAAGCCCAGGTCCTTACTTTCGTGCCACAAACATAATTTAAAATTGTTATTCGATCACGTAAGGCATTTCGTGAACCGTCGCTCCACACCAGTAAAAATAGTTGTGGAGGCATGAGTAATTCCGAGATTCTCCGAGGACTGGCGAGCGCTCATCCATCGTCTGGCGATGGCGGAGAGATGAAGACGATCTCTTCTCACAAAAGTCAAAAAGAAGCGTGCAAAGGATAAGAAGGTTCATTCAGACTATACTATACTATACTATACTATACTATACTATACTCAATAGAATTCAGTGAACCGTGACACGTTTGGGTGGTCCCCAGATAAAGAAACGAAGGTAAACTCTACAAGTATATTGTTTGCTTTTCTTAGCCCGGCAATGCGTAAATATCGCCGAAAACTACTATTTGTCAAGTTTCATATTTGCTTTTCACCGACACACGCGGGGTCACTGATTGGTCCGTCTGATATGTGTATAAAAAGTAATCAGGCTCGAAAACATTATTTACGCAAAGCTGCGGAGTACATTAATAATTTCTGGTTCATTTA